AAGTAGGCTGAAAATATGCTTTAGGTTTTAAACCAGGTTTAACATCCAATTTTTTTAATGAGGTTTACATTTTACAACGACATTAATTTGGGTTTGGTAGTTTAAAAATTGACTTACATTTACATACCTACATAAAAATGAGGGTTTTGTATGTCTAAAGAGGTAATAGGAAAACTCTTTTTTGTATAGCTATTTAAAGTTACTTAAAATTAGGTTTTAATCTATTTTGAACTTAAGAATGTGGTTTTAGTGAATTTAAAGCTGTTGGGTTTAAGCTCAATAAAGAGAATATTTTTTATACTCTTTTTATTTTAATGTACATCAAGTAGGTTGTAGAAGTCTAAATGCATCTTTAATTTAATAGCAGATTCACACAAAAAGAGTCATTAATGTCATTCAGAACAATTTCAATAACATCAATATTAACAAAAATCTTATGTTAATTACCTTGTTAATTTTAATTATTTTTTGCTACATGGGGTACTTATTTAAAAAAAAATGTAGGGAAGATTGAGGTTAGGATTGTTTGAATTTTTGCATGGTTGCCACTTTAAAAGTATCCCTTTCAACAACTACTTCGATGCACACTAATACAAGGTTAGTCACGAGAGGGTTATTTCTGAATTTGTTTTTGCCGCAACCCATTATACATATTTCAACAACTTCTTGATTTCAAATTTTGAAAATAATTATAACTAAATCCCCGATAGCTGTTATTAGTCTTGTCTCTGTGACATTATAGTAAAAAAATTATCTCTCAAACGATGCGACATGTTTTGTTATGTTTACCAACCGACTAGGCGCATGTTTAGAAGTCGATGGTAGACACTTCTTCACTTCACCTTTTATATTAACTTAACTTGTTAATTTATATGCTGAATTTTGATTAAATATAGGTTATCTGTCAATCTGACATTTCTGGCAAATTTATCCAACTTACTTTGATTTGTAATTTTAAAGAAATAACATATTTAATTTAGTAGTTTGTGAGATTGGTATTGTTGGTTGCGGCAAAAAAAAATTCAGAAATAACCCTCCCGTGAATAACCCTGTAAACGAGTATAAATCTAATTCAGACAGTTAAAATATTATATTTTAAGCATTCTTTCAGTTTTGTCAAACTGTAATCAAAATTGTCAAGATAAAAATTGTCACTTTTTAATAACTAATGGTTAAGCTCAGAAACGATTAAACAGCTTTATTTAATTTAAAAATCTGCTTCAAATTTTATTAAGATTTTTTTGAGCAGAAGTAAGTTAGATATGAAGGTCATCACTATTTTTTGCATCAAAATTTGAAGTTTTTTTTTGACTTAAATTTATTAGAAGGGTCCAGATTTATTTTTCGTATAAAAAGTAATTGTGAAAAGCGTTACAATTTTTATGGAGAAGTCGCGGGAAATTGAACGAGTGATGGTTAAATAAACGCAGATATCTATATAAATTTGCCAAAATTATTTGTGATGAAATAAAATATTAAAAAACTATTGCAGTTTAGTTTGAAAAAAGTAAAGAAAACACCTAATTCAGATTTAAATTTTTCGAAATTTTGAAGCTTCCAGCTGTATACTTTTTACCCCCTTTTGTGTTTTTCTTCCGTAAAGGCAGTGAGTCAAGAATTAATCTCAATAAATTTTTTGAGTTTAGTGCAGACACTAAATTTTGTGTAGTTGTTTTGCTTCTTCAAACTGCTGATTTAGGGATATTTCTGTGAGATTATTCCAGTTGTTTGTAATTTGTATTCCCGTCGTGTCTTTTTTCCCAACCACAGTCCAACATCTTAATCACATTTCAAAATCAAGTTGAAACTTTAATTATGCACTCCCCGTGCGTTAATTTCCAAAGAGAGCTAAAAATAAAGCAAGACCGAAATCACGACATATACTTATCCCATGACAGAAATAGAGGCATATGAGCACGCAATCCCTCTTTATTACCCGATTTCGACAAATTTAAAAAAATCCTCGAGCGCTGTTGGTGGTTTCCGTCCATATCCAATTATCTCCTCGGTGTTAAATCCGCGTCGAAAACAGAACTCTCATTGTCGCCGAAGAAGACAAACCCGTGTGTGATACCGCATAATATAAAGTTGTTGGTCACTCAATTAGCCAGAAAACGCTCAATATTCAGTACCATCGGCTTCTTTGACCATCTAGCTCTCCAATTAGTGTGAACCGTCGCTCGAGGCATCGGCGGCACCTTTGATCTCGAAAAATACCTGCCAACGCTTAGACTGCTCTCACCCATCGTGGTAGAAAACTCACCAAGTGCACAGTCTAACCACCAGGAGTGAGAGAATGTGAGAGCATCGTCTTGCAGCGCTTCCAACACGTCACAGTCTGGCGCGTTTCTTTTTTGATCGCCAGTTTAGCTTAATCACATTCTTAAGTCGATACAAGACGAAAATCTTGTAAGACATTGAATTCCGACTGATTTAATCACTAATTTGACGGTTTTCAAACCATTGTTGCTGTCTAATTAATCTAATTGCCACGAATCAGCCATCGATTAGCCCACTGACAGTGATGGGACATGTGGTGGCCACCATTCCGGCCTGATCTGAGCCCCGGTGACGGATTTATTTTTTTTTTTTTCAGAAATTTTGAAATTCCCCCTCAGCCGCCAATTATAAACTACTTAAAGTTTTCTGACACCGTGCTCGTGGACTAACGATTTCGCATTACATATGCAAATTATCGCTTTTGTAGCTTTTGATGTGTGTATTAGGTGCAATCGACCAAAAGCACCGTTAGGCGAGCCGCCTCTGATCATGATTAAATTTGCCGCTTCCTATTGATCGGGGAGGACCTCACACGGCGGCCACTTTTTAATTTGAGCCTTTGAAACACCTCATTATTATCGACGGAGTCATTTTCGAATGAAAGTGGATAATTCCGTTTTTTTTTAATAATAAAGTCATTCAATAGTTCGATTAGGTTTTTTGAATATGTGCTCTAGTTGGTTTGGCAACCGGATTTATGACTCCATTAGGTTTCAATAGGGACTGATTCGGGCGAAATCCGTGCACTATCGATTATGTAATTTTGACGCAGGTAGAGGGATTGCAAGCCTCCGATTTTTTTGACTAAATAAATATTGATTGGCAGAGATGTTACACGAAAACATGATCGTAAAATTTTCAGGATTTATGAAGACTGTAGTTTATGTTGCAAATATTTAAGACTTCCTTGCTCAAATTAGAACATTTTTTTTAAAATATACATTTTAGTCTGTGATTTCGGAACTAAGTTGGCAACACTGAGAAGCAATAATTTTTTCTTAAAGCAAATTAATTTATTGAAAGAAAAAATAATGTTGAAGTCCATTTTATACAATTCTAGATCAGAATATTTAAATAAAATTACTAAATTTATTTGTGTGCCTATTTGTCATGTTTTTGTAAGTGAAAAACATTTCTTTTGCTTTTTTCTAATAATCATGTTGCTTATAAGAATCATTTTTAAACTTTAACATTTTCTTATTACTTATCCGTAGGTGAACAAAAATTTTTTGAGAATGTTTTCCAATATTTCAACATTTTAATTACTGTACAGAATGGGAGTAAAAATTGTAAATCCAAGTTTTTAATGTAGATTTAACAAGGAATTTTTTTTTTCTCTTTTTTGCGAAAATCAAAATTCCTTAAATTGTTTTCTTTTTTTTGTTTTCAGTATAGTTTTCGTTTTTAAAATGGATGTTAACAAAAAAATTACGTGTAATAATATACTAGGCGTCTATTTAAAAAAAAAATGCATGCTTGTTTATATTATTGTTTAAAATTATATTTTTTTGATTAAGTAATATCGTTTTCAAAAATACTTTTTTGTAATTTACTTTGCTTAGAAACCTGATTGATTTAATTGAGTAATATGTTTAATCGAGTGTTCAATCACTATTTACTTTCAACAACTAATAATTTAATTATTTGAATTGAATATTACTCAACAAATGGGTAAAATTGAAATTAATGTATTTTAGGCCTAACAATAAAAAATGGGGATATTTTTAATAAATTCATAAGTCAAAAGTACAAAATACAAAACTCTGAAAACTTTACTGAATAGTGCAAGAAAAAAAAACTCATTTTTAAAGTAAATTTGTATTTTTTTTCTTTATCTTTACACAAAACTAATTTGAAAAACACCTTTTTGAACACAATAATTTGTTGATGACTAGACACTATTAGATCAGTGAAGCAGCCACAAAAATCTCCAGATTTGAACCACTTAATTTTTTGAGTAGGAACTATTTACTTGAACAATTAAATCTATTTCTTAATTAACAGTTTAACAAATCTTGTCGTTGTCAAAATTAACAACTAAAGAATCTAATCAAGTTACCACATTAATTTATTGAAAAGAAAGTTTACCAATAAAATTTTTATTATTGAAAGAGCCACAAAAATTTCCAGACTTAAATCAATTGATTTTTTTATTATTAAAACTAAACATTGTTCTAATTATTTGACCAGAACGCCAGTTGAAACAAACTTGATTGTTATTTTCTTTATTATTGTCCAGATTTAAGCCAAACAAAAATCGCATGGTTTTGTATTAATTCAATTAAATCTGTTTCTTAATTAACAGTTTAACAAATCTTGTCGTTGTCAAAATTAACAAATAAAGAATTTAATCAAGTAATCACATTATTTTCTTGAAAAGAAAGTTTACCAAAAAATTTTTTATTATATTGAAACAGCCACAAAAATTTCCAATTCCAATTCCAATTGATTTTTTTATTATTAGAACTAAACTAATTATTTGGTCAAAACGCCACTTAAAACAAACTCGATTGTTATTTTGTTTATTATTATTAAAACAGCCACCAATTTGTCCAGATTTAAGCCAAACAAAAATCGCCTGGTTTTGTATTTGTTTTTTAGACACAATTATTTAGTTCAATTGTGACTTCGGTTTGTTGACATGTCATTGTGCGAAATGAGGCTTGAAAAGTGCAATTTTGCGATTTGTCTTCGCGAGTCCAAATTAGGCCTAAACTCACCTGCGCTCGTCTCGCCCGAGCTCGAATCGAAGGTTTTGGACGTCATTTGGAAGAGTGCATCCAGAGGGGTCCCTTGGGGCTTCCCTTGCTGTCTCTGTCTTTGCGCTGGCACAATATCCGGCGAACAACAATCGCTCGCGACACTCGACGACCTATCACTTCCGGTTTCCGACGTATAACTCGCGTTGAAGGCAAACTCGGGCCTCAAAAGCGCCAATTGTTGGACTTTGAGGTGCCGATGGAAAGTCTCTAGTCTCTGTTGGGCCTCGATATCGGGGTCCAAGTCCCACGGCCGCACAATCCTCGTGCTTTGAGTCTTGGGCTTGTGGTTGAGGATGTCCACGATGGAGAAGCTTTTGACGCCGTCGCTGCGCTCGTCGAGCTCCACCGTCGGCATTTCCAGCATTTTGAGTTTTTTGAGGGGCTTGAAGTAGTCCTCGGGGTCGGGGGGCTCGCGCGGGCTGGGACACCCGACGCTGATCTCGTCGTCGGACACGTATTTGGGCTCCAGGGCCGGACTGGGGGTGCGCGAGAGATAGGGGGACATTTCGCGGGGGCTGCTTGTGGGGGACAGGGATTCCGTGTCTTGCATTGTTTCACTCGATTGCCGCCATTGCCCGATTGTCACTTTTTTAACGCACTCGTTAGCCGACACGTGTTCCAGGTTCGTATCTTTAACAGATCTGGTAACAAGTGAACGTCTAGTTGGCGTTCTAGGCTCTTTAACGGGACACGCCCCCGGGTTTGAATCGCGGCCAATGGGAGAGCGACAGGATGTCAGGGGGTAGGCGAAATGAGCGCTGATTGGTCGTGGGCGGGGCTTGAGGGGAATGAGAGGTTGAAACGGCCCACCAATCAACTGTCCAATTTAGAGAAAACCGTTTATATCATTTGTTTCCACAGAGATAAATGGGATTTTGTTTTAGGGGAAGATTTAGCATGTGTTTAATGTAAATTATTTTAGGTTATGGATGGAGAGATGGTGGTTGTTTATTGCCGACATAAATTCGGATAACTTTATGGAAATTTGCACGAGGGGCTTTGTTGGTTGGTGGTCTTTGCGTCGAGATACGAAAATTTGTTACAAACGACTGAAATTTATTTTTATTAATTGGAGACATAAATTGGACTGAATTGTGAACTAAAAAATAATTACTCGAGCTAGACGCCAAGTTTATTTTTATTTTCATTTTGAGAAACGACACTTGGAATGACTTCTCATAAATTAGATGGTAGACAAGATTACATTAAGAGCCACTCTGCACAATTTTTCCACAACAAATTTGTTAAATTTAGGCTTGATTTACATAAAGTATTAATTAAGAAAATATTTCACTAATTACAAGTTATAATTATTTGTAATTAACATGCAACAAATTGGTGACTATATTTAACCTTAAAAGACACAAAGAGGGAGAAAAACTTGTAATAAAATAAAATTGCAGGGTAAGTCGGGGAGCGACAAGACACATTTGAAAATAATCTGCTCTAAAATTATGAATTTTATTTTCATCTTTATTTCAATTCAAACCGGAGATGAAGTCTTGGGGAGATTTTAAGTTTCAAAGTTCTTGTCTTCCAGATTCACCCTAAAAATTGTGTTGGCTTTTTTTTGTTTAAAAATGATTTTTACAAAATTTAGAAAAGTTTTACATTTAAAAAAAACATTGCAAGAAATGTGTTTCAAAATATTAGGTACTTAAATATTCACTGTCTATTTTTTAATAAAATTTTATAGAAAATAGACAGATTATGAAAACTTTATTGCTTTTGAAAACCACTTAAAAAAATTGTGAAAATAAGAAACTTCTGAGATTTTTTTTAACAATACTTACTTAGGTATCCTGTATCAAAAAAATTAATTCTGCAACATCTTTAAAGCAATAAACTTTATTAACAAAAAATCAACAAACTACACCTATGGAAGATAGATAATTTAATGTAACGTATTTTTTTTATAAATTATTTAAAAATCCTTCAAAAAATTTTGTTTCTTCAATTGTGTTTTTTATTATGTGAAAGAGTGCTTTTTATCAACTAATTTCAGTAGATAAAGTAGTTTTATATCGTCTAGTGAAATAAAGTAATTTTTATCTACTGTTTATATTCTTCATTTCGTACCAGAAATTCTAGTAGGTAAGTACAAAATAAAACAAATAAAAAATGTTTATCAACTCGTGAAAAAAGTCCACTCGTGACTTCGTCACTCGTAAACTTAACCTTTTCACTCGTAGATAAAGAAATTCTTTATCGTCTTGTATAATAAATAACTATTTTTGATAATTGATTGCCAATTTTTTAAAACACTTTATCAAAATGTTTCAGCTAAAGCACCCTGTACATTTTTCACTCATTTTGTAATGTTTAGTAATGTAGGGTAAATCCGAGAGAGATGAACTTAGGAACTTAGAACTAATTTTGCACAGTGTGGAAGAGACGGACTTTTACACAACAGCAAAAGCGAAATTTTGATTTCACAAAATGGTGTTCAAATGGACAAAAATAAACAGGGTGAATTATAAACTTATTGCCTGAAGATAGCCATTACAAAAATTTTCTGATACATGTACAGTTGGAGACAAAATACTTTGGTCGTCGATGTCACTTAACTGACATTAAATTGAAAAGCATGCTTTAGGACTGTTAACCTTATTTTTAGCTACTGTCAATCATAGTTGACAAGTTGTATATATTTTTGATAGAAAGATATAATAGCTGTCATTAATTTGAAATTGTCATTCATTAAAGCTTGAATTACATTAAAGTGTCAGAAAAGTGACGACCAAAGTATTTTGTCTCCAACTGTACATGTACGTATATAAATAAAAATTATTTGAAAAACATCTAATGGCTATTAAGACAAGAAGAGTTTTGTAGACAGATAAAAATCGAGTTATATTTTTGATCGAAAGATATAATAGCTGTCATTAATTTGAAATTGTCATTAAAAAAAATTCATTAAAGCTTGAATTACATTAAAGTGTCAGAAATGTGACTACCAAAGCATTTTGTCTCCAACTGTAGCAATACAATTTTAATAAACATTTTTGTGAGAAAAAACAAATAAAATTTTCCTCTTATTCAAATTAGGTATCGATCTCTCACAAAAATGAATCAATCAATAGCAACAGAACATGTAATTATTTATTTTTTTTATATACAGGATTTTTCAAAAAAATGTCAAGTGAGATTAGATAACATGGAAAAAAATAAGAAATTCTATCTATAAGAATTTCGAAATTTTTGAGTTTACACTATTAGAAGACGAAATAAAATATTTATATAGGTACCTATACAAAATTATTAATAACAATAAACAGACATGAAATAGGTCAAATGTCAAAAATTTTTGATTTATTAAATTTTTTTAATATTTTATCTATGTTCCTGGTATCTTATATTACTTGGCATTTATTTCTAGAGCGCTAGTTATGAATTACCCTGTATTTAAAAACTGTGTATTTTGTGATTTTTTTAGGTTGTCTTAAAGGAGAAAAATTCGTGGTTTGAATTGAATAAAGATCATAATTTTGCCCCAGCAAGATGTGGTCCTTCTCTTCCGGACTTACCCTATCAAGTTTGATTCATTTCACATTTCGCAACTATTTTTCTAACATGCTCAAAACTGTTGAAAATAGCTGTATCGGCTAATTACATTACGCCACGTCGCCTAATCGGCGAATAATCCTCCATTGTATTGAAATTTCTGAAAAAATATTTTTTCTCATGAAGCTATCATTTCCCCAAAGTCGAAATCGTGGACGTGCGCTCACGCAAATAATCTTTCGGGACTTGTCAGGTCATTAAGCTCATGAGACGTGTCGAAATTGGCTTTTCGGTCCATCCTCCACAATATGATCATATTTTTCCACGTCGACTTTGGTGGCAGCTGCGCAGACAATAAAAGGTGTCTCGCTTAATTATACGCGGGGCCCTTTCGGACCTCACACTAGGATCACGCCCTTATGCAGGGCGTTATTTATGTGTGCCACATTTCCGAACCGATTTATAAGTCATCAAGACGATCAACACAGTTGGCAAGCCTGCCAATGACGACGATAGTTTTCATTTTATAATACGGAAAATGCGCAATCGGTTTAAACAATCGGCCATTAAAAGCAAATAAAATATAATTCAGGGAGTTTATTGCGATGGTATCGCGTGGCGACATTAAAACTTTTGTAATTGTTCAATATTTTGCATATTTATCAACGATTGGACTAGTTTTAGCGAGTGGGGGGGACGAGGTTTAGGCTTTGTAATGATGGTAGGAATAAATAACCGTCATTAGCATTATCTGGGATTTTTTTCAGAGATATGAGCGTGTGTGGCATTAATATCCCCATTCGTTTAGCTTAAATATGCGAGCATGAGAGACCCGTAATTATATATTTATGCGAAGTGAATCTAGGGTAGATGAAACATAATTTATCAACACTCGACACTTTCGAGATCAGGAGTGACAGCCAAGACGAGAGGGGGCCAGGGGACACGTGTGAACGTGGCTTTTCACGATGATTGAGATAAAAAGTGGAAAAAAATTATAAAAATACAAATACGAAAAACAAACAAAAATTTAAATTCCTGAATTTCAAGACAATATACAGTTTTTACTTTAGTCACTACTGGGTAAAGTAGTAAGTTCGGCAGAGATTGACCACATTTTTTGAAAAACTTCCTCTAAAATTGTGATTTTTATCTTCAAAAAATTTTAAATTGGGGCATTATTAAAAATAATTATAACTGATGTATTCCAGAACACAAAATAAAAAATTAAAAAGGTCGTATCAATGTAACTGTATAGAAATTTAAATAATATGTACAAGAATACCAATTGGATGCAAAATATGGACATGAAAGACAAAACAAAAATTTTGAAACCTAATGAAATAATAATTAACATTGTCATTTACTGTTTTGTGTTCATTTCAAACAAACTTTTTTCAGTATGAATTGCTTTCATTACTTTCATTTCATTTCAACTGCGTTCCTTCATTTTCTGCAAACATTTTTTAAAACCAAATTAATATTTTGTTTGGTCATTATAAGAGATTTTTAAGAGTTAGTAGTTATTTTATATAAAAAAAGATTTTTTTGATTTCAAACAAACACGTTTCAACTTAAATTTTCCTGAACGAAATAAGAAACTACTATTTGCATTTTTATTACGAATTTCGACTCTTGTTTTGCCCCCAGTGACCATAATTTCCGCGGGCGCCCATGAGGACAAGGCAATAAAAACCCAACTTGTAAAAGTAATAAAATAAAAAACTTATTTTTTTAAATGCATTAAAAAATAATACAGGGTGGTTCAAAACTTGAGTCCCAGAAAAAAATGCTAATTATAGGATATCATAGTGATCAAATGTCAAAATAAAATTTATTAAAGAATTGATTTGTTTCGAGATTTTCTATTTTTTTTTCTGACTGTGATGGCTTGTTTTAAAAAAATCACCCTGTGATTACCCTGTTTGTATTTTATTAGTGATAGAATTTTTTTTAATGTCATTTTTTGTAGGTAAATGTTTTATAAAAATTGTTGATATTTTTGATATCTTACTATTGTATTTATTTATTTCTAAAATTTTATTTTCTATTTTAGTTTAAGAAATATGGTCTGTTTTTTTTTGAAAATTAACTCAAGAAATAACAATTTCTGTATACCTACCTGTT